GTTCTGGGACCGATTGTCTGGCCAGTCTGGATGAAGCCTCTCATTAGTCTACTATGATCTGCCTTGTCCAGCCGAACGTTCTGTCAATGTGGCTTTTCGAAGCCACCGTCAGTGACATTCCAGTAGCTCGTTATGGCTCCGCTGCTGATAAACACTATATTATCTCTGTAGACATTTATACTGTTCGCGCATACCATGCACGTGCGATTAAATAAAACCATTATTTTCAGGATCCCACACATAACACTGTAAAGGATATCTGGAGTGTTTGGGGCAATAGGCACGCCATATTTGTGACCTGTTTCAAAACATTTGCTTTACTTTCCGGAAAACAATCCCAAGACACCAATGTGTTCCTTCTTTTAAAGATCAGTTCAGTTGAAACCTGTATCGCTTCGGATATTCTTCAGACCTGAAACTGACACGCCGTGATATAATGCGGCAATTAAACCCGACTCACTCACTACTCACTCACTCACTCACTCACTCACACCACTCACTCACTCACTCACTCACTCACTCACTCTACTACTCACCCAACCACACTCCACTCACTCACTCACCCACACATACACCCACCTGCCCACTCACTCACTCAGCTCAACTCACTCAACCCATTAAACTCACTCATTCAAGTCACTCACCCACTAAACGGACCCCACTAACTCACTCACTCACACAACCACCATCACAGCCATCCGCCCGCCAACTCACTCACTAACTCACTCACTCACTCAACCTACTAAACTCACTCACTCCACAAATTAACTCACCTACCCACCCACACAAACTCACTCACTCACTCACACTACAAATATAATACATTAAGTCGTATTTCTGACCCGGACCTCGCTCTTCCCCCTGCATCCCACCATCCCCCAGCTATGTTAACGATACTATCGTAGATATCAGTTTAGGCACCTGAATGGTAGTATGGTGAGTGTATATTTTACTGTTATCTTACAAGGCCAACTCGCTGGACCCACGGTGAAGCTATCCAATGTGGGTCGTGATGCACAAGTGTAAGATTGTCAGCGCCACAGTATAGCGTTACACGGGTATTGGACTTACACTGGATATTTACGCGCTAAGCATACGACACCTGGATCACACCTGAGGTAAAGCATCTATTTCCTTTGAATTAGTGTTTATTTACAATGTGTGATACTGAAGACTTTGTAGCCGACAAATCAGTCGGAGTAAAATATGGTCACAGATAACTATTGCTTCTTGAAGTTGTTTTGATTGACCATTACAGAGACGCCAAAACAAACCACTCATATTTGATCATTTTATGCATTCATATTTGGTCGGATCATATATTCGGGCTCAAATGTTCCACAATTCTTTCTTTCTTTATTAATGTTTAATAATTATGCTTAAGAAAAGATGAATGCCGTCGTCAGTACTTCGTGGATTAGTATGAGCTACGTTCTTTGTGAATACATGTTGTTTATGCGATGTAGAACTTGTAGAAGCGACACGTTTCTCCTTTAATGTGATGATTTTAGCAATGAATGAGTGTGGTTCAAACTTTTAGCGATATTCCAGCAATATCGCGGCATGGGGGCACCAGAAATGGGCTTCACACATTGTACCCACGAGGGAACCGGGGAATCGAACCTGACGAAACGAACGCGTTAACCACTAGGCCACCCAACAGGAATGAAATGTGGACGCTTTTAATTCATTGACGTCAAATGTTTCCGATCCAGTGCATTAACTGTGTTCGACCCCAACGTAGAGCAGATGACAGCACATTTCATGAGATACGGTGCCGTGTGTATGGTGTAATCATTGGTCTGAATACTCGATGTTGACCCTATGGATGACCGTTATAAAAAAAAAGCCCGGGCTTACACATGATTGTTGCTTATAAGTTGACAAGCACTCAATACTATCTTAACATAAAGCTTTGCAGCCTATCGGGCTTACGTGCAAAAATGTCTTGCTACGCGCCTGATGACTGTATGTGCGAACACGTGTCAAATTATAGTCCCGGCTTATAAACTAACATCCAAAAGAAACTTGGCAGCCGATTTGAAGTTCGATAGCGAAAAACAACAAAACATAAATGAACTTAATAAACGGTATTGTAAACATAACCATTTTCTAAAGCTTTGTGCAAACAGGCATAACAATACAATGAACAATGAAATAGATATGGCTGGTGATGTCCATGTTGGGTACACAAAACAGGTTTTCAATACATGTAAAAATGGTCAGTTCGGTACAACATGACCATAGGTATTTTAGGTGCCACAGTAGTAGCGTCCGTGACCTCCACGGTTTGAATGCAGGCAAACACTCTCCTACGCACTGAATTCGTTAGTCGCCTGATGACGTCAAATGGGATGCTTCGCCATTCTTCATGGAGCGCCACAATGAGTTCATCCCGGGTGTTAAGGCGTTGTTGTCGCAGTCGAATTTGTCTGTCCATGATATCTCAAAGGTGCTCCATGGGATTACGGTCTGGAGAGCGAGTTGACCAGGGTAACGCATGAACGTTATTGACGTTAAGGAAGTTTTGCAGTATGAGGCCTGGCATTGCCGTTTACTCTGTGGCTGTTGACGAAGAAATCGACACGACAGGACCTCATCTCAGTATTGAATCTGGATTTAACTATTTTAGTTGCCAAGTTTCTTTTGGTCGTTAGTTTGCTTAGAGATTCCGGATTGGTTTTGGCTTGATTGCGGTTAGGTGCAAGTATCTGTCTTTCAACAAGTTAATTATATTACTTGCAAAGTTTCTTTTGGTCGTTAGTTTGCTTAGAGATTCCGGATTGGTTTTGGCTTGATTGCGGTTAGGTGCAAGTATCTGTCTTTCAACAAGTTAATTATATTACTTGCAAAGTTTCTTTTGGTCGTTAGTTTGCTTAGAGATTCCGGATTGGTTTTGGCTTGATTGCGGTTAGGTGCAAGTATCTGTCTTTCAACAAGTTAATTATATTTTTGCAAAGTTTCTTTGGTCGTTAGTTTGCTTAGAGATTATTGGTTTTGGCAGTTTGATTGCGGTTAGGTGCAAGTATCTGTCTTTCAACAAGTTAATTATATTACTTGCAAAGTTTCTTTTGGTCGTTAGTTTGCTTAGAGATTCCGGATTGGTTTTGGCTTGATTGCGGTTAGGTGCAAGTATCTGTACATCTCTTTCAACAATTTAATTATTTTAGGTGCCAAGTTTCTTTTGGTCGTTCGTTTGCTTCCGTTATCCTAGCGGAGGCTTTACCCTTTCCAGAGACCCATTCATATAGGTTTCCCAACTATTTTGGACCTGTGTAGAGCCAGGTAAGACTTTTTCTTCAGCAACACATGTTTATCGTAACAGGAGACTAACGGGATCAGATGGTCAGGCTCATTGATTTGGTTGCCACATATCATCGTATCCCAATTGTGAAGATTGAGTGAGTGAGTTTAGTTTTACGCCGCACTCAGCAATATTCCAGCTATATGGCGGCTGTCTGTAAATAATCGAGTCTGGGCCAGAGAATGATCAACAGCATGAGCATCGATCTACGTAACTGGAATATGATGACATGTGACAACCAATTTAGTAAGCCTGACCACCCGATCCCGTTAGTCGCCTCTTTGTATGGATTACTGAAGATCAATTCTAACCAGGATCTTCACGGGTTTGTGAAGATTGATGCTCATGATATTAATCAATGTACCGTCAGGCCCTGCCTTGACGGCATTAAACAACAAACAAACAAACCCCAGGTATTTTGCCTTTACATCCGTTGGGATCTGTTTCGGTGGACAAATTTTTGACATTTTATATTTGCTCCTGTGTTGGCTAAATGCATCCAATGCCATAGACTAATTAGTATTAATTGCATTTTACTTGAATGTGTGGATTTTGCAGACACCGTTTTTATGATGGTGTCCCTTATCTGAAGCATTTTAGAACAGTTTCGAAACAATTGATTTTATCATATTTAAAAGAAATAAATTAAAATAAAATATAGATTTTTATCTCAACAGTCAGTTTTTACCCTTAAATGTGATATTTGACTGTAATTTTAATGGTTTTCAACATCACCTTTATTGTTGTCTACTGGCAAACAAGGATAAGTTGAGCAACGACCTGACAAAGGACCCCTATTAGCATGTATGCGTTTGCCATTGTTAGCGAAGGGTTTCCAGGTTGTCCGCGATCAAGTGTAGGGCATTGGGTGAAGCAAGACGCGTGTGCAGCTACGCGCGGAATCAATTTCATCGCCATGTAATGCACGTGCACTAGCCTACATCTGCTCTACCTTTCACAAACCAAATGGGTTTGCTCATTGCCGTGCACCGCCTACTTCTCGTAAACGCGTTCTCTGCGTCGGTCCAACTTATCCTTGTTTGCCAGTAACATATTGTAAAAGTGATTGAGTGAGTTTTGTTTTACACCGCACTCAGCATTATTCCAGCTATATGGCCGTGGTCTGTAAATAATCGAGTCAACATACTGTAAAACATTCGCCGCGAATAGCTCAGAAAATCGTCGATGCGGCGTAAAGCAATATTCATTCATTCTGTGTTGTTACAGGTTGCAATGTCAGAGACTATAGACATCAAGGACGTTCTTACTGAGTGTCACAACTGTCTGAAGCAGTATGACCTGAAGTCACGTGTCCCACGGCGCATGCCCTGTTGTTCAGAGACGGTATGTGAGCCTTGTCTCACTTCCGGTCAAACCAACGGCCGCCTCACCTGCCCCCTGTGTAATAAAGAAACACCCGAACACAAAGGGGTTTCAAATCTACCAATTGATCCCTTCGTGAGCAAGCTCCTCTCACTGAAAACCACATCGCCCCTAGCCTGCACCTTCTGCTCTTTCAACAACCCTGCCATCTCGAAATGTTGCCAGTGCAACGCTCTCCTGTGCCAGTCCTGCATCAGCACCCATTCCCTCAACAAGCTCCCCATCAACCACGACGTCATCTCCATCGACTCAATCAAACAGCAACGTGCACTTCCGTTCTGAAACATTGTCCAGGACTCTCAGCCTCCAGTCAATGAACGTTCTCGGTGAGCTGAAGGAGAAGGGGGAAGAAGAGATGACCCGGATGAAGCAGCTGGACGATGTCCTGAAGAACATCGGCCAGTCCCGGAAGAGCGCCGTCGGGGATATCAATAAATGTTTTGACAACCTGCAGAGGGAGCTGCAGGAAAGGAGGCAGTTCCTGTTATCCCAGGTGGAGCTGCGGGCGGATCAACACGCCAGTATTGTCAAACATGCCAAGGCTTCCCATCAGGTCCTGAATGAAAAGATAAGGAAGTTATCACAGAACATATCAAGAGGTCGTAAGGTAGGTATGAATGAGTTTGCATTTATGCCCCTCAATACAGCAGTTCTGTTATTTTGGCTTTAAAGTGAGTGAGTGGGTGAGTTTAGTTTTACGCCGCACTCAGCAATATTCCAGCTATATGGCGGCGGTCTGTAAATAATCGAGTCTGGACCAGACAATCCAGTGATCAACAGCATGAGCATTGATCTGCGCAATTGGGAACCGATGACATGTGACAACCAAGCCAGCGAGCCTGACCACCCGATCCCGTTAGTCGCCTCTTATGACAAGCATGGGTTAAAGAGGATCAATATTCTAACCCGGACCTTCACGGGTATTTTGGCTTTAAACTAACATACAATCTCTGAAGTGAACATACATAAACTGATGTGCAAAAGAAAGTACACAGGTTGTGTTTCTTCCAATAAGATAAAAAAGATTTTGATGAGCAAAATGACATTGTAACAATAAACTGCATTGTAACAATAAACAGCGATGTAGTGATGACCACTACAGACGGTTCCTACCATGCTGGAAGGTCAAGGCCATTCAACGCAGCGGTCGGTAGGCCCATACATGCCAGCAGGACGAAGTCGTCTTGTCACTGTGAATCGGCTTACGCGAAGACCCAATGATGTGGCTGCTGATGACGTCACCGTCAACACCCAGTTGCGTAGGTGAATAACCCGCAGATAGCGATCCTCTTGGGGTGTTGTGACTCTGGAACGTCCACTTCTGGATCGATCACATGTCTGGCCTGTCGTACTGAAACGGTTAAACAGCCGAATTATGGTTTGTCTTGTGCAACCCAATGTCCTTGCAATATCGCTGTTGAAAGCACCCATTTGTGTCATTCCTTTGGCCCGTTCTCGTTGCGCCGACGTCAATCTGGCATTTCCTCGTGAGATTTCTGTCAAGTGATTGTTCAGTCTTCACGACAAACAGGTTTTATACCCTCTGTCAGAAAAGTGCTGGTGCATGGGACAATAATCACAATTTTGCAAAAATTCGTGCAAAACACGTACAAATGTTTTTGGTTGCATTTTGGCAAATGAAACATGATGGTTGCGTTCTATACAATCAATGTTTTTCAATAACTTTATTAGTTAGAACGCATATTTGGAATTGCAACAACAATTACACCTGTGTACTTTCTTTTGCACGTCAGTTTAGTTTACAGTTCTCAACGATGAAGAAGAACATTTTTATGGATAGACATCTTCATTTCTGTAATCGATGCGACGTTTCCATCTAGATGCTAACACCGTTATCAAGCATGTGATGATAATTTGCAAGACTATACACCAAAACGTCGCATCTGTTACAATAATGAAGATGTCTATCCATAAGAAAGTGTTCCTTTTCTCTATACCAGCTACTACATGCCACTTATAGAAGTATGTTAATAAAATATTACATTAAAAAAACGCGGCAAGAGACTCTCTTCATCTTAATTAAAGTAATCTGGACTTGCCAAAGATTGTAGACCTGAATATATATTGTTTCAGGGTCGTGACAGTATATATGTACATGTATATAGTCATTACTGTAAAGCGTGCCTGCTTGATGTGGGGAGGAAATCCCGAAGTGATTCGTATTTTGTATTTCAGTCAAGGGTTTCAGTGATGATTAACCTAGTTATATAACTAGGATGAGATGACCTGATTCTAACTAGGGCTGGGACGGGTACTCGGGTACTCGAACCCGGGTCGGGTACAGCCGGAATCGAGTCCTATTTCTAGGAATCGAGTACCCGGAAAGGGAGAGAACTCTGTAATGACAAGAGCAGATAATAACTTGTCTTTTTCACATTTACATCATTGGTATTGTCCGATTAATGGAGGTTATTATTAACGACTGTAATTTATCTGCGCATGTGCAGTGAGTAGTCAAGTTACAGTAACAGTAGGAACGAAAAGTTTGTTTTAATGAGCAGTGTAAGTAATGGTGTTACTCTTTATATTGGTTAAACAGACGTAAATTATATAGCTTGAGATCATTTTAATGTCTTATTGACACCCTTATAAGTTTTCTATAATTGAATATTCAGAAAGTTGACAGAAGCGCTGTAATCCTTACATTTCCGGGTACTCGATTCCGTTTCGGGTAAGTACATGCGGGTACTCGATTCCATTTTTTCCTACCCGTCCCAGCCCTAATTCTAACCCACGACCATGTGTCGTTGGCGCAATCAAGGGGACGCAACTCTGTATAGCGATTGAGACACCTCTGTCATTTGTAAAGTTGAGGCACTGCATGCATCAGGTGGTACATATCGATTACTAGCCCACTGTGTTTTCGTTTCGGTAATATTACATACTGTGTTAACAGGTTAGTGAGTTAATATGGTTTCTCGCAGCTTTTCAGCACTGTTTGATCAATATTACGTCGCAGGACACCAGAAATGGGTTTCACACATTGTAGCTAATTTGGAAATTGGGCCTCCGGCCGGATGAGCCATCAGTTTTAACACTAGCCTACCCCAGTGCCACGTGGACAAAATGTTTTCGTTATTCCTTCTGTTTCTCATTATTAGTTCCAGCTTTCATACATATTGACAACTGTAGGAATAAAAAGCCTGAACACGTCACAATTTAATTCTGACAAACAAAAGTCCAGAAACTCTCCGCACTGTGGACACTTTCTGAAAGGGATTCGACAAAAGTAAACATGCAGTTGTTATGAATATAAACCTTAAGATGAAAAAATGAAAAAAAATAATTTCGAAAATTTAAAATTTAAACTCTGTCGCCCATGGGCGAACAGTCGAGAATGCTTAATTTCGCTCAGAATTCATGTTTTGGAGATTGTAAATGAATGAGTGTATGCTTAAAAGCATCATGACACAAAATTCAACTCATTTTGACGTAATTCGGCTAATTTAGAGCGATATTAAAAAATCTCGCCCATTGGGCGAAAAACATTTTGGCCCATGGGCGAGAATATTTACTTTTACTAAAAATACATGTTTTCCCATGTTTTGAAGGTTGTAAATGAATGAGCTGAATGCACCGCCTCATGTCCCAAATAGTGCCAAAGTATTTGCTGCCATGTTTGTTCATATAGACTCATGCATCAGAAAACACCCATCAGGGAACATAAAAGGGTCCAGTAAGATGGGTCTCCAAACGATGCAGGGAGCTTGCAATACATAGATCCTGCTAGATGGCGTCATTTGCATATTGATCGCTCATTGGATACTATTATCTCATAGACAACCCTTTTTTCTAATGGGATGAACTGAAGATCATCATGTCACTTTACGGTAAAAATTGAACTAAAGTATAGCTGGATATTATCATTAAATCTCCGACCTCAACAACATTGCTTGTTTTAATAGATGAGGCGACGAGTGTTTGTTTTATAGAAAAACTGATAATTTCTGTTTCAGTATTCTTATCCAGCTATTATCGCATTACTTCAAGAAACAGCCAAGGATGTTGAGTTTGCCCGGAAGGGGGTCTGCTTTGTGCCCTCGAACACCCAGCATCTCTTCTCCATCCTCCAGACAGCAGGGCTGGTTAGGTCCATCACCTTCACCCCAGCGGAGAAGCCCTTGGGAGTTCCTGACGCCGTCATATACAATGAAATATCCCTGGATCCTATCAACATCCCACAAGGCAGGTAGCCTGTACTCGCATTCGTCTTCAGTTCGTTCGTTCGTTCGCACGATCCAGACCAGTCATTTTGATCCAGTGATTGATACCACGAGCATCTGCCTAAGTGTTTGTGCTGGACGATTGTGATCAACGTTCCATTGATCGACTTGGATCCGATAGTTTGGATCGTTTTACGGGTTGTGAGACTCACTCACGTTAACATGATATAACATTAAAGCTACAATAGATGTTCCTGAAAACTACAACACATTGTGTTGTCAGGATACTGGGTTGTACGATACATGGGTGTGGTCAGGACACCAGGTGTTCATAAACTGTGTTGTCAGGACGACCGGTTGTACAATAACACGGGGAGCCCGGATAACCCACTGGTTAAAGCGTTCGCTCGTCACGCCGAAGACCCGGGTTAAATTCCCCACATTGGTACAATGTGTGAATCCCATTTCTGGTGTACTCCGCCGTGATATTGCTGGAGTATAAAGCGGCGTAACTAACGCACGCACGCACGCACGCACGCACGCACTCATCACTCACTCACTCACTGTACAATAACACTCTTGGCTGCCCCTGTGTTTGTCATATTTCTTATTCTTTTCCAGTATCGCATGGAGATGTTGGCTTTCTTTCCCACAGTCGAGCACACAGTGAACAAACATGTGAGTTGGTGGCAGGATGTTTCGTGTTGCCATGGCAATAGTCAATTTTAGAAACGTTGTTGGCAGGTTGCATAAATTGACGTACCAAAGAAAGCTCACACCTGTAGCTTGGATTATTTTCCAAAACATAACACTAAGTCTTGTGACTTTGTCACAATCAAAACGCCTTTCAAAATACTTACATGTTTTTAAAAATAATCCAAAAGCACAAGGTGTATATTTTTTTTTATGCTTCAGTTTATTAGTTTAATTATCGTTAAATGGCGCGTGACTTCAAAACTTGCGAGACTGATGGCGACAATGCAGTGAAGCTGTATTAATGATGAGTGACAGACGGTACCGTTTCTGGTAAAAAGAAAACGGATTGACGAATCCTGGGTGTTTCGTATCAGAAAATACCCGAAGAGCTACCAGGATTCCGGATTGTCTGTCATGTGTGAATGGATGTTGTAACCCCCCAGACTCCGTGGAGATCCGGGTTAGAATTGGTCTTCAGAATCCATGCTTGTCGTAAGAAGCGACTAACGGGATCGGGTGGCCAGGCTCGCTGACTTGGTTCACACGTGTCATCGTATCCCAATTGCTTAGATTAATTGAAATAGGAAGCATGATTGATTTAGCCGAAGCGTGTTTATTGTTCAGATGACGTCACGTTATCGATACCATGTGACGTCATGAACAATGCATAACGTCATATTGTGCAGTTTTCAACAATAATCTTGATGTAGGTATAAACACGACGTCATATTGTGATTTGTTTTATGTTTTAACTCAGGAGTTTCACGTCGTACTTAAGAATATTTCGTTCATATGACGACGTGCATGCGTGTGTATGTGTGGCTGCTTGTACTAGCCCAGACTGAAGCTGGTTTTATAGTGCTAGCTCACTGAGATACCATGCCGCAGTTAAGCATGAATACCCCACTCAGACACATTATACTGACTCCCAGCCGACCAGTCCTTGTTGTACCCATTAATGCCGAGCGCCAGGCAGGGACCAACAAGCACCATATTTAAAGTCTTTTAGTATGACGCGGCCGGGTATCGAACCCGCGACCTTCCGCTCTCCGGGCGGACGCTCTAACTACTACACCACGGAGGCGGTTTGTAACTCAGCAATATTCCACCTATATGGCGAAGGCCTGTTAATAACCGAGTCTGGACCAGACAACCCAGTGATCAACAGTATGAGCATCTAACGCAGTTGAGATACGATGACATATGTCAACAAAGTCAAGCACGGGTTGCTGAAGACCAATTCTAACGCGGATCTTCACGGATATCTCACTTTCTAATGTCGTTTGATATTTATAACCCCAGTAATGGATTACTGGGGTGTTACTCAGATTGAACATAGACATGTTGATCATGTCGTCTTCTGAACACCCTCGTAGTGTTATTGTCACAATAATGGAGAGTACGGGAAATATTATGTATAAGATTATAATTAACTCAATGTCAATTAAATCAATACATATATGTTTTAGGTTCACTTGGAGACCAGGTTGTTGTATTGAAGACTACCAGCAAAAATCGAACTCTCTTTTGTGAGTATAATTTGTTTTATTACAGAAGGCTGTTACTAAATAGATCTACCCATTTTAAATAAACCATGGCAGGAATAAGCATTTTATGCCTACAAAGATTAAGCACCGATTTGACTGAGAATATATAGCAGACTTCTGTATTCTATGTCATCTTTTCACGTTTGTTATTCGACAAAATCTACACAACTTTGAGTGAGTGAGTGAGTGGGTTGAGTTTTACGCCGCACTCAGCAATATTCCAGCTATATGGCGGCGGCACAACTTTGACTTATAAGGCTGTCTCTACGTGTTAGTCGAATCTGGTCCAGACACGCCCGTTATAGACATGCTAAGAAATGTACTGCGTTTTGATAAGATGGAACTCGTAAATAGCCCGGTCACGGAGCCTTGCCAGTAAATCGGCTCTTACGCCCAGAATAGATTGTTTTATTGCAAATTCAAACCTAGAATTTCATAATGAATGTTAGTTTGGAGAATTCATGAGGTTTTATGTACAAGACAAAACTCAGTTTTCTCACTATTGTGGTTGGATTTGGAATATATTTATGGTATCCAGTTTCAAAAGTGGTCCAGATTCGATTATTTACAGACCGCCGCCACATAACTGGAATATTGCCGAGTGGGGCGTTAAACAGAAAACAAACATGGTTTCTAACGTATTTATTATGAAATTGTAATGTAGGAGAATTTCTTTTCAAGGTCCACAGTTAGAATGGGATACCAGCACCGCCAATAGGAGTGTCACTACATCCGGGCCTGTGATCACAAACACCAGACCAGAGCCGCCATTGTCCAACAGCGGATGTCGTATACAGGCTGACCGACACGTCATGACCTCCAAGCCATTGTTGATGAGGAACGGGCAACAGGCCATGTACCAAGTCAAAGTGAAGTACAGCCCCAAGATGCTGATCCAAGACAACAAGATGCTCTTTGAGGTGTGTCTCACTGACTCGCCAATAGATTCTGTGTGGAGTCAGCCGAGCGGACTCAGCGTCAACTTGGCTTCCTGCTCACACCATCTACAGCAGCTTTGTCTCAGGGTCGTCTACGACAACCAGCTTCTTGAAGACACGCCCGTTGCACAGAACGAGGTCGGCGTGTCACGTGATCTGCATCTTGGCTTCGTGTTGAATTCCGCTAGGAACGAGATACATGTGATCGACGTTGAAGATGTCAAAATCATCAGCACTGTGACGGACGTGGACTTCGACAACCCGCTGTGGTTGATGATGATGCTGGCGTGGCCGTCGTGGGCTAACATGGCTGTGGCGCTTGCATCAGGAACGAGGATGGATGTTTCAAAGGACATCAACAGACTTCTGTCTTCGCTTTAGCAGTGGACAATCTGATGAACAGGACGACATGTTGAAAAGGTGCACAAGGACCTAATAACTTGATAAAAGTTTATGCCATGTTATGTGAAAGGATAAGGCCCAATTATGTGAAAAGATAAGGCCCAATCATTTGAAGGATAAGGCCGAGTTAGGTAAAACGATAAGGCCCAATCATGTGAAAGGATAAGGCCGAGTTATGTGAAACGATAAGGCCCAATTGTATGAAAGGATAAGGCCGAGTTATGTGAAAAGATAAGGCCCAATCATGTGATGGATAAGGCCGAGTTATATGTTTCAGTGCTCTATCAAACATTGTTGATGCAGAAAAAAATGGTCACTTCAATTAGTTTATAATTTCATGCACTAAAGATATTTGTTGTCAAAAGGTTATATTTTTATGTTGCAAAGTACAAAGTTCTAAAATAGTGTAGTAATTTTCATTGTAAAATTTGGTTCAGATGAGGTTCAGAAAGTCTAGCTTGGCTATAACTGTTATTAGTTTTCCAAAAAGTATTATCATGATTGTCATACCAGATTACTTCCCCTTATTGTGAGTGTTGCTCCTCATCAGAGCACATGGCTTGTCACTGCCTCCATGTTGGAGACATTCAGCTGTTGTAGTTGGCATGAACACAAATGTGAGTAGCATTGTTTGCTATTGTAATATATTTCAAGGCATAATAAGGTAATATTATTTGAAGGCTTTGTTAATTGTACATTTTATTCATTTATCTTGTAACTGTTAATTTGAAGTAATTTACTTAGACTTGTCATGTAGTTTGACTGTTAGGAATAATTTACTTAGCAAGTCTTTATTTCTGCTTTGTAGTTTTCTGAACCTCACCAAGCCAAAGAAAGAAGTCAAAGTGAAATTGAACGTATACCAGAATAAATTTTGGTGCGAGTAAAGAATTTTTGTGTCTTGCATCCACAAACATAAAGTGTTGGCTATAATATATACTACTCAAAATATATAAGTTAAAGATGATGATAGATAAACTTTAGTCATGTAAAAAATCGAAATAAACATCAGGATACATAATAAGTTCAGGTCCAACTATGAAGAAGCTCGTTTTATCACGCAATTTGCCTTCACTATATAATGTAACTCATGCACATTCTCGACTGTAACTGCAATGCAAGATGATTGGATTAAGCCTTGAATATATGCCTATGTGTAATTATTAAGTTAGCGAAGCCTTTAGATGATCAGTTGTTTATGAATGAGCGCATAGTGTCCAAGCTAGAAGGTCTCGTTCAATCAATGTATCGAGTCAGTCTTGATTGTTGTACCCCAAACTGCTTGTAACGGTTGTTTTCATCATGCTTGTTTAGAAATTAAATAACTGTAATCAACAGGAATGGCATGATGATATTTGTAAATCAAATTAGTTTTCAGTGTATAGGGAATATATATATATATATATATATATGTGTGTGTTAACTGTTGAAGTTAGTCTGAATAGTATTCATTGAATATGTTGACTAGTTTGTGTCTATTAAGAATTAGTTAACTACCACTGATGGTAAACATTAGTAGAAGATGCGATATCGAACAGTGTCACGGGTATAGTCTGTTTGCAGTGAAAACGTACCGATGAATTTCACTTTAAAAAAAAGTAAACTCTCTTATCCTAAGTTGAATAAAATTCTGAGATTTAAATGTTCAGTATTGGCAAGGTAAAATTATGAGGATGCGCAATCTTAATTTCACTTTATTTGATTTACTTTTTTTAAAAGTGAAATTGGTCATTACGTTTCCAATGCAAACAGACTATAGTGCAAATTTTGTACCCATCATGCAGTTAAAGATGGATACCATACCTTAGTAGCATGTCCGTATTTTAATTCGAAGTACATAGTTACCTTGATACTGTTTTGATAACCCACCACCCACACCCCCATCCCCACACATCCCCCACAAGCACAGCCTGAATTCAGACACCGTATGCCTCAGACACTTGTGTACATGCAGTGCATTAATGCTGGTATAACATTTTTCATGTCCGAATTTTAATGTTGAAGTAATCAAATTTCCAGTACATTTAGTGAATTCTAATAATCATGTTCCCATGCATCCTCGATAATCTCCAGGGTATACGCTACGATCACTCTCCACTATACCCTGGATGTATCCATGGCTGATTTTATGACCTCCCTTTGCTGGCTCCGCATTCTCACAGTAGCCAATCAGCTAAGTCGCCGTTACATCCGAGCTTGCCAGTGTCAACAAAGATAGCGGTCGCAGTCGCGAAGGTTTGTTCGCAGTGCCACTCAGATTTTTTGAGGAAATAATACAGCCAAATTGACAGATCTGAAACTTTCAAAATATATATAAAAGATCTCCTTCTACCTCTTTCAGAGTACCTCTCCATCAATTGTGTTGCCAAGTTTAAACGGTTAGATAATTTAAGAAGCGAAAGTAAGCTGTGATTGGTTCGCTCAACTTCCCAGCGTAGACACCTGATTGGATAAAAAGCCAGCCAAGGGAGGTCATAAAATCATCGGGCCAAGCCGTGGATGCATCCAGGGTATAGTGGAGAGTGATCGTTACGTATACCCTGGAGATTATCGAGGATGGTTCCCATGAAGTCGTGTGAATTGTAATATTCATGTTTTCGGTTTTGGGGGTACGTGTGGTAATGGCGAGAAATGTTCTCAGCCATGTATTTTGAATTAGCCTTGAACCATGTAAATCTAGCAGGAAATCAAGTCCATGCTTTCCATGTGCTCCTCGTGTAGGGTTAACCTGCCCGGTATGAAACAGATCAAGTCCGACCAGAACGTTTCAGATTGTAGGATTCTACGCACGCTTCATGCAATTTGATACATTCTACCATTCATTTGTCAGTGAGATCCAAGAATTCGAAAGACACCTGAGCCACATCAGTAAATGATGTACAAACTGACTGACTGACTGAGTTTGGTTTTACGCCGCTTTTAGCAATATTCCAGCAACATCACGGCGGGGGACACCAGAAATGGGTTTCACACATTGTGCCTATGTGGGGATTCGAACCCGGGTCTTCAGCGTGACGAGCCAACGCTTTAACCATTAGGCTACCCCACCGCCCCAAATGATATACAGAGATACCATGTGGTTATATAGCATCTGGTCAGGTAAACTGGACACTCCTTTGTATAAATCAAGCCAATTTCGGAAGCGCTTCAGTGCTAAATAGAAATAAGTAGCATGCGGTTTTTTCTATATGCAACTATTCAGCACACTTGATGATTTCATATTTTATATGCAAATATGCGTACATATCGGTTATATTTTGATGTATATTCTGATATTTTTATAGTTTCCAAATGCGTGCCTTTAAATCTTCTCAAAAATATTCTTGAAACCTTTTTAAATACCATTAAACGAAATTGTTTGGATTTAAGCATTTACGCATTTTTCGGATAGAGTTGTGTGCATGTGGGTGGTGTCAGCACAAATATAAAAGGTAACATATATAACATGGATAATACTGCCAATTCTTGTATAATTATTTTGTAACATACTGTTGTATACCATGATCTTTTTCAAGAGTGAGTGAGTCTAGTTTTACGCCGCGCTCAACAATATTCCAGCTATATGGCGGCGGTCTGTAAATAATCGAGTCTGGACCAGACAATCCAATGATCAACAGCATGAGCATCGATCTGCGCAATTGGGAACCAATGACATGTGTCAGCCAAGTCAGTGAGCCTGACCACCCGATCCCGTTAGTCGCCTCTTACGACAAGCATGGGTTACTGAAGATCAATATTCTAACCTGGACCTTCACGGGTTTTTTCTAGACTAACCTATATTACTGTTATTGTGTTAATATGCTGATATATCATGTGTTATATAGCCGTAATATGATTGTAATATATTGGTTGTAATAAACACTGATGAAATAAATGCACGATCTCTTCTGTAACGATGAAACGGGTCTTCACATCGCAAGCCATTCGGATTAGCTCGGCATATTCCGTCACCTACACGGAACCTCGGACAAAATGGAATGGTGACAATGGTTCAGTGTTAACCGTTAACCGAACGATCTTTCAGCATGTTAATGAATACTTGACAGTGTAAAACACCTGTTCCTGTTGTCAGCATAACAAAAGCAAAGGTCGAGTTGTGGTTACAGTATGTCCAAAGGGTTGAGGTGTTACTGGCAGTGTATTTGTATATGAGAAAATCTTTGCCCCACATAAGAAGTAGATACGGCATGAAAACGGTCTTGTAATGAATATTGGAAAGTGTTAAACACATGCTTATGTTTAAATGATCACAAGACCAAATAGTTGGGTATATTATAGTACTGAATGAGTTTAGTTTCACGCCGCAATATTCAAGCTATATGGTGGTTGTCTGTAAATAATCGAGTCTGGACCAGACAATCCAGTGATCAACAGCATCGATGTACTCTACTGGGATACGATGACATGTGTCAACCAGGCCAGCGAGCCTGACCACCCGATCCGGTCAGTCGCCTCTATCGACAAGCATGTCCAAGACCAGTTCTAACACAGATCTTAACAGGTGATTCATATTGTATGTCTAAATGGTTGAGATATTTGTGTATGAACAAATATTTACCTCGACATAAGATGTAAATGCATCCTTTACTTGTAAATATATTAACACAAACTCTTAGGTCAGGTACTAGTAACATTCTAATAACTCTCTCTCAGTGGTATGAACTTGACCTATACCTTAACCACTTTACCTCAAGTTTTCGTTTATACAATTTGCCAGTGGGTCAGAGAGGTTCCACATTGCCATGTACTTTTTTAAATGTTGATTGAAATCCAGGGTACCGTTACATTAAAAAACCTGAATCATTTACATGGCTGTGAAACTGTGAAACATTAAAGCCAATGTAACCAGGGGCATCCATAGCAACAGAGTGGTTGGTACGTTTCGTACAGCTTTCCAAAATATACTGAGGGATAAAAATAAGGGATCACATGAAAGCACAAGTGTTCCTTTATTTTTTTCCAGGTTTCTTCACAAGCGTTGTATCGCAAATAAAGGAACACTTGTGCTTTCATGTGATCCCTTATTTTATTCCCTCAGTATGTGTTTTACTCAGAAGTTGTATTATCAGAGTGTAAGTGTTAATAAACATACATTATTATTATTATCAATAATTACCACACATTAGTGTGTTAGATAATGAACGAATAGTGTTATGTTCTTTCGTCATGCTTGTATGTGCGTGTTACCCGATAACTTGTCATATACCAGAGCTTTTTATGAGTCGGTTTATGGATATACTGTCAACGTTTTAACATGACTGTTTCGAAATACATGTGCTTGTATATATTTAAATCACAAAATATTGCACGTTAGACATTAGATATTCTTGGAGTGGGTCGCATGTGAAATCAATAAACCGTCTCATGAACAAACTGTGCTGGATTATAACAGGTAAAACAACATTACGTTCACTCTTCTTTGATCGGCAACAAACGGGATCGCCGAATACCTGTAAAACACAAGACTCAGTTCGTTATCCCAGTGTGAATAGATTCACTTTTATTTTCAAGACTCTTTGGACTCGAATGGGGGACGTTAACTGCACCTGTATCCATATTCACAGAGTCACTCGCCTAACACGCTCACCCGTGAAAGTCGCGATGGCTGAGCGGGTTAGACGGCTGACTTGATGTGCTGGCGAGTAGGTGCCTGACTCTGAGGGTGTGGGTGGGACTCAACCCAACAATAGTACTAGAATCTGTTCTTTACTAAGAAAGTGTAATCCCAAATAACATATGTTAAACCCAATGACCTCTTGTGACAAACATAGGTTTCAGTATCAACACAGACAAACCGAAACATGAGTCTCATCAACCTATTCAGACAATGACCTACTTTTCAGTCGATCCGAATTTCCTCGTATGAAAGTGAAAATAGACACCACAAAAAAACTATGGTTAAACTGAATTCCAATTCCTTGTTTCATAATAAAATGGTATTTACAAATGAATTTTAATTTTAAACTTTAACAACATCGTATTTCTATATTTTATTGCGAGGTGTAGGCAGCATGCCCCAGTTTGATGAGGTCGTAAAATGATTCACAAGTCATCTGGCTCACTGCTTACACCTGTTATGTTTTTGTTTGTGCTTATTCGGTGTAGTTCTGTAACGCACAATGTGATTGATACAATATCAAGTCCGTAAAAAGACCGCCAAACGTTTCTAGCGGCAGAGCCTCGTTTTGAGATTGTCACGATTTCCAGGTTTCTGTTTGTCAGTGCTCGCTGTACGACAGAGCACGTTGCACGACATGTTTGCAAGGCTTATAAGTAGCTCAGTGTTGCAATAATATACGAGTGCATAGATGTATCAAATAATATTGATTAATATTTATGCATCCAGTTAAATGAATTGGTCGCAAAATTCTGGACTGGTTATTGTACTAACTTGCGCAATAGGACGGAACCCAGTCAACAGGAAACGAGACTGTTGTGTAATCAATGTTTTGACTTGTGCCAAAGGTTGATCTGGAACTTGTCCATTACTCACACCGCCTCCGTGGTGTGCTGGTTAGAGCGTTTGCCGCGGGTTCGATCCCCAACCGCGTCATACCAAATGACGTTAAAATATGGTACTTGTTGGTCCCTGCCTGGCGCTCGGCATTAATGGGTACAACAAGGACTGGTCGGCTCGGAGTCAGTATAATGTGTCTGAGTGGGGTATTCATGCTTCACTGCGGCATGGTATCTCAGTGGGCTAGCACTATAAAACCAGCTTAAATCTGGGCTAGTACAAGCAGCCGCACATACACATACACACGCATGCACGTCGTCATATGAGCGAAATATTCTCAAGCACGACGTTAAACCCAATTTCACCTCACCTCACCTCACCTCACCTCACCTCACCTCACCTCACCTCACCTCACCTCACCTCACCTCACCTCACCTCACCTCACCTCACCTCACCTCACCTCACCTCACCTCACCTCACCTCACCTCACCTCACCTCACCTCACCTCACCTCACCTCACCTCACCACACCTCACCTCACCTCACCTCACCTCACCCTCACCTCACCTCACCTCACCTCACCCTCACCTCACCTCACCTCACCTCACCTCACCTCACCTCACCTCACCTCACCTCACCTCACCTCACCTCACCTCACCTCACCTCACCTCACACCTCACCTCACCTCACCTGACCTCACTTAATAGTGAGTGGATGAGTTCATGAGTATGGTTTTGCGTGACTTTTAGCAAAATTACAAAATTACAGTACTAAATTAATTCCACGGCAGAGGAAACCAGAGATGGGCTTCACACATTGTACCCATGTGGGGAATCGAACCCAGGCCCCGATTTCTCGAAACAAAATTAGGTCTGAGTTTTGACTAAAGTTAAAGTTTTCACTCAACTCAAACACAACAGACAATTGAGTTTGGTGGATAGATTACCAATAGATTAGATTAGATTAGTTAAAAATTCAGCTACCGGTATTTCAAATTGTCAAACACTTAGAAATTTGAGTAAAAACTTTCGAGAAATCCGGGCGAGGTCTCCGGCGTGACGAGCGAAGGCTTTAACCACTAGGCTACCCCACCGTCCCTAATCTCCTACTAAATGATGCTTCTATTTGAAGAAACAGCGTAGAGTAAGATATTATAATTCATACAGAATATATTATTTATGTATATACACCAAACAGTAAAAGCAAGATATGAAATTGTTAATAAAATTTACCACCGGAAGATTCTCATTAGTGAGTTGCTCAGCGAACCCGTGAACAGCGTATTTATCTTATCAATGTTAATTTTGAACTGTTTGAAGCACGGGTATTGGATCATAATAAGGAGTACCGGAGTTAGGCAACAGCCCAAACACTACTAACATGAAGTATTAAACGAATTCCCACAGTTCGGTATTTCCAGCGGGGAACATAGAAAATGTTATTCGCTTGTAAGCGGGGTACATTGATTGGCTCAGCCAATCAGAAAACGGCATTTATGTGTGTTGTAAGATAAGTTATATATTCCATAACATAGCTCTCAGTGATTGAATGCCAATCCGTTTCTACTTAAGGCAACACTAGCTTCATGCTGATTTGGTTTCAAACCACATTATACTTAATGTGAATAGTAGGAATCATTACCCCTATGTATGTAAGGCCACGCTTATTTCAAATGATTTATTTCAATGACATTGTTCCTAATGTGGGAGTTTGTAAACAGTTTCCTATATAGAAAATATCATCACATACTAATGCTAATTATTCCGACAATCAGAAGCAGCAGATAGATCCAAGCAGACGATATCCGGTTGGCGTCATTGTAGATGGCTTTGGGGTCGTTTGTCGTCACGACCCGGCTGTTGCGATGTTGAAGCGGTCGGAACACATCCGTAACGTACTGATCTCGCTCCCCTATATGTGTCCGTTTTATATGACGGAATTTTTCTAACTGAAAACCAAAACGATGAGGGTTATGTCCCACAAATCCTCTTTTCTGGATTTCAAGAGCATTATTTTATCATTTAGCATTGTCACGTGAAACAAGCCCCTGACAAAGAGTATTTTTGCACTCGTCTTTGCCTACTGGTGTGGATACGATAACGGTGATACTGCTGGAAGTAGTGTCAGCTAGGGTCTACCTGAACATCATTCACGCACTCACTCAGTCACTTACTTACTCACATACGCACTCACTCATTTACACGCTCTCTTACGTACTCATTTACGCAGCCACAGTCACTCTATCACTTGATTGTTTACGTACTTAGTTACGCACTCACGCAATCACTCACTCACTGACTCATTCACCTACTAACTTACGCACTCACCCACATACGCACTCACTCACTCACTCACATTACGTAGTCAGATAGGCCGATATACCAAGCCCCAAGCATTCACCTTTGAGAATGTTTTAAAACTATTTCTTATCCCACCAATGTGACAATACTCACCAAACTTTACTGAACACGAGTCACTATAATTGATTTTACGGCGTATTTCAATCTATGTTTTCATATTTTAAAAATATCTTTAGCTATTAACATAGGATAAACTTGATTAGTTTAACTAATTTTAATTATGAATATAGATTCATTTCAAGCAATTGTATCTGTGGAGTATTTATAATTTGCTTGAATAAAATATGAATTAAATTACTCTCAGTCAGAGCAACCTACCTGCTCCTCGGATACCTCGACTGTCTCCGTGAACAACGTCCACAGCACCGTCTCCGAGCAGGGCGGAGTGGTCAAGCTGCCCTCATAACGGTAGAACCCCTGCCTGTTCTCCGGTAGCAGTGACATGATAGGGAACGTCGGTATAGAGTGTGTGTCCTCTGGAATAAATATCACGGTGATTTGTCACAGTTTAATCCAATTTCAGGTGTATGGCGCTAGACTTTAGCACCATGTGTGGTGTTTAAGTATCGCAATGCCAATTATCAAAGGTATGTCCACCACAACACAGCGAGACCTAGCCTAGTGGAACGAGTGTCAGCTGTCAAGAGCGAGTTTTATCCGTTCAAATGTGGAGATTTTCTACGGCAGCGGATTATGTACCAATCGTATTTATTCATGGACTAATGAGCACGAATTTTCTATTAAAAAATCTCATCCGTAAAAGCAAATATTTTGAAGAATCTTTCTACATTTACTGATGTCCATGTTACACTTGTTGTCACGGGAACACAATTTCCAATCTTACTTGGACAACTAATGGGTGTATGAATACAGTGGCGTTCCTTGGGTATGGCAAGAATGGTATGCCCTGAACGCCACCTGTAGGGGGCGTCACTTGATGGGGACGCCACTGACCACTTTCTAAGCCGGGGTAGTGAAAAAATGAATTTTCAGGTGCGCAGGCTGTGTGACAAATATTCCATTGTATGACTACAATATGATAATATCCTATAAAAAAAATAACTGATACCGACCCATTGACCTCAAATTGATTCCTCTAATATTATAAAACGTCAGTACAAAAAGAATACCTAAACTTGACTACTATCAGAAATGAAGGAAGGGGAAAATGGCATGGAAAATTATATGAATGGACGACTGAAAAAACAGTGACACCAGGTGGTCGCGGAAAGGTAAGCATGTCCTGATCTACCGGTGGCACCTGCCATGGTTTAGAAAATCAAGTTGTTAATTTTGAATTAGGACTGCTGTGTATAAGCACGGAGATTTAAGTTTCAGTGAAAACACGTTTTGGAAATAGAGTTGTTTTACAACACAGGGTGGGGCAGTATTCATGTCGCGGACAAAATGTTTCTTTCACAGTTGACTCAAGATAGCGACTGTATGCTATATATTTTATGACGAGACTTCAGTCCACCAGCAGAAAAATCATTTCAGGGGCAATGCAGCGTCAGAACAACTACCAGTTTTGTCTAACGTGTAGAAACATTTTGGTGTTAGTGACGCCATTGCAGTGAAACTTGCATGAATGGACCACTGATAATCAATGACACCCGGTGTTCACGGAAACGGTAAGCATGTCTTGCCCCACCGGCAGCAACCACCATTGAATTTAGAACTTGCGAGGCCTCACCTTTGACTTTATCGCTACAGGAACCCCACCCCCATATCGTCCGTAGCATGAGGTCATTCGTAATCTTATGATCAAACTATATAGTTACGACAGGTCGTAACACTACGAACGCTTTTGGATTTGGGCCCAAAATACTAGTTACCTGGTGGTGTGGGCAGGTAAGACTGTCCATAAGATCTGGGCCCAAAATACTAGTTACCTGGTGGTGTGGGCAGGTAAGACTGTCCATAAGATCTGGGCCCAAAATACTAGTTACCTGGTGGTGTGGGCAGGTAAGACTGTCCATAAGATCTGGGCCCAAAATACTAGTTACCTGGTGGTGTGGGCAGGTAAGACTGTCCATAAGATCGGGGCCCAAAATACTAGTTACCTGGTGGTGTGGGCAGGTAAGACTGTCCATAAGATCTGGGCCCAAAATACTAGTTACCTGGTGGTGTGGGCAGGTAAGACTGTCCATAAGTGGGGTGAGGTACAGGGGGGTTATAACGTACCTGACACCCACAGGCAGACAGACAGGTAAATACTTACCACTGTGTTCAATTTTATCGAAATAATTCAACAGTTGATTGTAGTTTGTGTTGGTTCTGCCCACCTGTAACAAAATTCAAAGTGATTTCAGGGCATCATAAAGGTGGAAGGGGGTAGCCCGATTGTTACAGCGTTCAATTGCCTTCCCTGGAGAAGTGGTTCGATTCCACACATACATAGGATTCGTAATTGATCGTGGGCATTGGGGTAGAAAAGTAGTAAAAGCCTTCGCTCGTCACGCTGAAGACCCAGGTTCGATTCCCTACATGGATACAAGGTATGAAGCCCATTTCAGGTGTCCCCCGCTGTGCTATTGCTGGAATAAAACTAGAATTCACTCACCCACACGGTCATAATTGATCAGTGCTTTAAACCAGTCATTCACTTGAACAATTAAATAACAAATAGTTGGAAGCTTGCAAATGTAACATAAAACAAATTTTACTCAAATAGCAATATACATGTATTATGTCAAAAGTTCTATTAGTAGGTTCATTATTCATGAAAATACTCGTTAGGATTGGTCTTCACCATCCCATTCTTGTGTGTAAGATGTTACTAATGGGTATGGTGGTCAGACTCGCTCACTCTGTGAATGCACGTCATCGTTTTCCAAATATCGTGGATCGGTGAGGTGAGGTGAGGTAAAATTGGGTTTAACGTCGTGCTTGAGAATATTTCGCTCATATGACGACGTGCATGCGTGTGTATGTGTATGTGCGGCTGCTTGTACTAGCCCAGACTCAAGCCGGTTTTATAGTGCTAGCCCACTGAGATACCGTGCCGCAGTGAAGCATGGATACCCCACTCAGACACATTATACTGACTCCGAGCCGACCAGTCCTTGTTGTACCCATTAATGCCGAGCGCCAGGCAGGGACCAACAAGTACCATATTTTAACGTCTTTTGGTATGACGCGGTCGGGGATCGAACCTGCGACCTTCCGCTCTCTCGTAGATCGGATGCTCATGATGTCAGTCACTGGACTGGACTTTCAGATTGCCCTTAGGTATCTGGAATCTTGCTGAATGTGGTGATAAACAACAAACAAGCAATGAAAATGTCTTACCCTAAAAAAGAAACCAAGGACAGATAAGCCATGTCGTTTTGTCAGGGCGTTGTCGAAGGTGGTGTAGTTCTTTGAGTACATCACAAGGTGCATCTGTAACATAACAAAATATGTATGACATTCCCTTAAACGGGAAGTATTGACAGTTCATATCAATTTGAATTTTTATTAAGAGTAACTTAAAATTCCAACTGTATATTCATGTTCGGCTCAATTTTGTGAAAGGTTTGAAGGGCTGTATCATTCGGACTGGCCCATGGTTCTGTAAAATATTTATTGTCAGAATACACAACTCATTCACTCACTCACTCACTCACTCACTCACTCACTCACCCACTCACTCATTCACGCATTCGTTCATTCACTCACTCACTAAAGAAGACTTTATGATGTGGGTGCGACGGTGGGGCAGTCTCTGTACACTAGACGCCAAAAGAAACGTTACCCTCCTACCTTTATGAATTACTGAAAAACTATCAAAGATATGTTAGAAGCTAAGTGAAAACAAGTAAAACGTGTCTTTGATATTGTGAAAATATGCTTAGGAACATCTAAAATTGTCTTTGTTAATATGTTTGCTTGCAAAGTAACACTTTTCCATTTTCTGTGTACACGTAGCAATATCAATCGCCAAAACGCAGCAATATACAAGACGTATTTACATCCATTTCACATGTGGAATGATTCTATAGGGTATAAAGAGAGCCTAGAATACATGATCAGGCTAGCTAGTCTCTAAACGTTCGTAGCCCTACGAACTTCTTAAGCCCATTCTCAACACATTGGCTACGATCAAAGTTAAGAATTCTTAGGGCTACGAACGTTTCGAGAATAAGGGCCCTGATACACAAGTACGAGAAATGTGCCACGATTAACAGCTGAAGGGAGAGAAAGAACCATTGGGATGGTGCAGATGGGGTCGCCATACAATGCTGTTGCCAACGCCCTCGGATGCCACCGTATCACGGTTATAAGATTTATTTAGGGCTTCAGAGAGACTGTGGTCACCGTAGACAGACCAAGAAGTGGACGTCCACGCATCACAACGCCAGCTGAAGATAGGTACCTCGATCTGTCATCAAGGAAGGAGGGTAACGTTTCTTTTGGCGTTTAGTGTATATTGCCGACGGCCAGGTTCGATTTCCCTCTGGCTGGTGTCCCCCGCCGCGATGTTGCATGAATGTAGCCAAAAGTTGCGTAAAAGAATATTCAGTCACTATTTGTGGGCGAGGTACCTGCCATATCATGCATACATACTTACCTCCATTGGGAAGTGTCTGCCATTGATGGTATGCTCAGACCCCCTTTCATCTTTAGCTCCCCAGTGAAAGTGAAACTGCTGCACCCCATAGGCCGTGTCAAGACCTCCCCCCTTTCACCGTCATCTCATCCCCGCTCAGGTGGACCTCCACTGCAACAACAAGTAAGTCACAGTGAATGAGTTTAGTGTTACGCCGCTCTCAGCAACATTTCGGCAATATCACGGCTTGGGAAAAGACTTCGCTATCTGGACGCCCTTGACCATGATACGATGCCATCGGTGATAAAAGCTCTCTTAGTTTGACATCAGGAATATGCTTCACGCGCTGTACCCATGTTGGATTCGAACCCTGGTCTTCGGCGTGACAAGCGAACGCTTTTACCAATAGGCTACCCCAAAACCCCGCAATATGGCATAAACTGAGGAGTTGAAATGAGCGTCCGACATTATTGTACAGCGACAGACCCGTAAAGATCCGGGGTAGATCAATGATCTTCAGTAACCCATGCTTGTCGTAAGAGGCGACTAACGGGATCGGGTGGATCTTGGTTGATACATGTCATCGGTTCCCAATTGTGTAAATCGATGCTCATGATGTTGATCACTGGATTGTCTGGTCCAGACTCGAGTATTTACTAGTGTTGGCAATTGGTTAAAATCTCATAATTGATGATTGGTATATTACAACCGATCAATCATCGAAAAAAATTGGTTAGCGTCATTAATGAAACCTGACTTAAGAATTCTTAAGGCTTAAGAATATTCTACGAAATTTAGTGAATCCGCGAAATACTTGTATGAAACGTTCAGTCCATATTCTGAAATCGTGGTCATAAAACTGGTCTCGTGTGCAAAAGGGGAATTCCACTGTGACGTATTTAACATAACGCGTTACTTCATAACACCAAGCCTGTCAATATCGATCGATGGTCTTTGAGGTCAGCGTTTGGTACACTGGTTAAATTATGTACACAAATACAATCGGTAAAAACAACCCTCAGTGTCTCTGCAGTGGTAAAAGCTTAGTAAAGCCTTTACTCACAACGTCCGTCATCTTGAGGATCACCTCAAAGGATTACACGAAAAGATAACCTTTGCTTCAAATATGTCGAGGGGAAAGAATTTCGGAAGAATTGGAGGGTGATAATCCAGTTGAATGTCTCCTGCCGAAGCTGATCGAAGACATCGCTAAGAAGGACTAACAGACAAACGTTAGTCTGCAGCTTCAACAGCTGTACCCGTGAGACAAGAGGGGCGAGGTCAGTGACGACATTTTAAGTAGTGCCAGTGGATAGTGACACCTTGGTGGGAAGTCCTTTGAGTTGTTGCTCCACACAGCAATATGTTTAATTAAGTCGTCATTTGGCGGTCTTTCATTATAAACACGTGTATGTGAAACTCTTGGTAAACCCGTTTGTTCTGCATGGCTCGTGGCTTGAAGGTCACGTGACATGTGTAGCCGCAACCGCGACATCTCGTCACCGTATTACGTCATTAGTTAAGTGGTAATGAAAGGCCGGCTAGTTGCAGCGGTAGAAATATTATAGTCTGTTTGCAGTGAAAACGTGCCGATGAATTTCACTTTAAACAAGAAAGTAAATCGACAAAAAGTGAAATTAAGATTGCGATTCCTCATAAATTTACCTTGCCAACTGAACATTTAAATATCAGAATTTTATTAAACTTAAGATCAAAGTTGTTTAACAAACGATCATAGTTTCAAATCGTTATTATTGGTTTGTATTACAAGGGTGTATGCACATAAAACGAAACACCGAGAACAAGTAGGGCTGGTCTAAGTTAACGCTCATCATGTACCGCACGTGTATTTGTTTCAGCGTTCCAACTTCTGCGCTTACCCCCTAGTAATTCAAGAATTGTTATTTCCTTTACATTTTGTTTATAGTGAAATTCATCTGTACGTTTTCACTGCAAACAATCTATAGTGCTTGTGGTGGTCTTAGTAGTAGCAGCAGCAGTAGTAGTAGTAGCAGTAGTCGAAGTCGCAATCGTAGTAGCAGCAACAGCAGTTATAGAAGTAGTCGTCGTCGTAGTAGTAGTAGTAGTAGTAGAAGTAGTAGGAGGAGGATGAGAAGAAGTAGTACCAGTAGTAGTAGTAGTTGTTGTAGTAGTAGTAGTAGTAGTAGTAGTAGTAGTAGCGGTGGTGGTGGTTTTCGTAGTGGTAGCGGTAGTAGAAGCAGTAGCAGTGGTAGTAGTAGTAGTAGTAGTAGTGGTAGTAGTAGCAGTAGCAGTAGCAGTAGTAGTAGTAGCAGCAGTGGTAGCAGTGGTAGTAGTAGTAGTAGTAGTAGTAGTAGTAGTAGTAGTAGTAGTAGTAGTAGTAGTAGTAGTAGTAGTAGTAAGTTAGAATTAAAGGTTTCATCAGCTATTTCAGCTATATCGTGACAGTAGTAGTAATACTACAGGTATTCTGGTAGAATATTCAATTCCTTTTCCCTAGCAGGTAATTTTCCCAGTAAAGTAAGTTTCGACTAACAAATCTCCCACACGCCGTGGCCTGCCGTACACACGAGTCAGACAGTGGGTCAGTCGGTCACTGACCTCAGACAGTGTTACAGTAGTATGCTCCACCAATAACAAGCTAAGTTCTTGCAGCAGAAGCAGACAATGTAAAGCGTGAATGTAGGCTACTAGCGTTCAGCAATAACTATACCAGGTGGTTTAAGACTGACTGACTGAGTGAGTTTGGTTTTACGCCGCTTTTAGCAATATTCCAGCAACATCACGGCGGGGGACACCAGAAATGGGCTTCACTCATTGTACCAATGTGGGGATTCGAACCCGGGTTTTCGGCGTGACGAGACAACGCTTTAACCACTAGGCTAACCCACCGCCCCAGGTGATTTAAGAGCCAATGATAAAATACAATGCACATGCAGTCAGTTTATCTGTAGATTTAACCTCGCCAAACCGCCTTACAAACGCTATGTACAGTGAGCTGGGTATATCTACATTTCACCTCGCCCTACATAGGTAACACAGCGTGGTTCTGTTCAATTCTACCATGACTAAATATACCGCGAATAGTTCAGTGTTAGCATTTACATGCGAGATTTTTCTGTTTGTGTTACCAAATACCTGAATACGTTTGAAACTGATGGTAAAGTAATTAATCTACTCAGATACAAGCAGGACAACATACCGTTATATATTCTACCCGTACAAATTTAATTACTTTACCATTTAATCACGAAATTTGTTAACTGAACTATGCATGCTTTGAACAAGATTTAAATTTGTAGGTAAAATATATGGGTTTGCAAAATGATGCCTTGTTGCATCCCAACATCACCTCAGCAGCCAAGATGGGAACATCCCCAAAGTGATGCATCCTTTGTCATGAATAATTTTCACGTCTATCTTTGCGTTTTCGCCCATTGAAATCCACGTATAAGGGAGAATGGTTATTCTGTGGACTTGGCGTTTTAAGTGTATTTTATCAATATGTTAAAGAATTATCATTTCAGCAACTTCAGCAATATCCCAGCTGTATCACTACGGCTTGTAAATCATCGAGTCGGGAACGAATGGTCGATAGCATGCACACTGCCGAGGTACGATCGCATGTAATTAGGTTACACATTGCAATCCTCTTTGATCGTCTCGTATGACACGTATCTGCGACTGGGAACCAAGCCTGCGAAATTAGTTTATAACTAACTAACTCAATCAATCACTCACAAACTCGTCCACCCACATATACTCACTCACTAAAATCCACTCCCTCTCTCACTAAAATGCATTCCCTGTCTCATTGAAATCCACTCACTCACTCATTAAAATCCGCTCCCGCTCAAAACGTCACTCCTTCTCTCACTAAATCCACTCACTCATTCACCAAAATACTCTTACTCACTCACTAAAATCCACTCACACTCTCACAAAATTCCACTCATTCACTCAGATCCACTCACTGACTCACTAATAGCCACGCCACCCCTCACTAAAATCCACTCAATCTCCCACTTACATCCACTCACTCACTAAAATCCACTCCATCTCTCACTAACGTCCACTCACTCACTCACTAAATTCCGCTCCATCTCTCACTAACATCCGCTTACTCACTAAAATCCACTCACTAAAATCCACTCACTCACTAAAATCCACTCACTAACATCCACTCAGTCACTAAAATCCACTCCATCTCTCACTAACATCTCACTCACTAAAATCCACTAATCTCCTAACATCCGCTCTCTCACTACTCCATCCACTCATCCACTCACTCACTAAAATCCACTCCATCTCTCACTAACATCCACTCACTCACTAAAATCCACTCCATCTCCACTAACATCCGCTAACTCACTAAAATCCACTCCATCTCTTAATAACATCCACTCACTCACTAAATTCCACTCCATATCTCACTAACATCCGCTCACTCACTAAAATCCACTCACTAAATACACTCACTCACTAAAAGCCACTCACTAACATCCGCTCACTCACTCACTAACATCCACTCTCTCACTAAAATCCGCTCCATCTCTCACTAGCATCCACTCACTCACTAAATCCACTCACTACTAAAGCCACTCTCTCACATCCACTCCACTCATCCACTCTAAAATCCACTCCATCTCTCACTAACATCCACTCACTCACTAAATTCCACTCCATCTCTCACTAACATCCGCTCACTCACTAAAATCCACTCTCTAAAATCAACTAACTCACTCACTAAAATCCTCCCACTCACTCACTAAAATCCGCTCCCTCTCAGTAAATTCCACTCACTCATTAAAATCCACTCACTCAATAAAATTCACTCCCTCTCTCACTAAAATCTACCCTTGAAGTTCCGGGTTAGATCAATGATCTTCAGTAACCCATGCTTGTCGTAAGAGACGACTAACGGGATCGGGTGGTCAGGCTCGCGGACTAGGTTGACACCGGTTCCCAATTGCGTAGATCGATGCTCATGCTGTTGATCACTGGATTTTCTGTTATTTACACGCCATATAGATGGAATGTTGCTGAGTGCGGCGTAAACTAAACGCTGTCACTAAAATCCATTCACTCACTAAAATCCACTCACTCACTAAAATCCACTCGCTCTCAGTAAATTCAACTCACCCACTAAATCCACTCACCCAAACACTCAATCACTCACTCACCCACCCACTAAAATCCACCCACTCACTCCATCCACTCACTCACTAAAGTCAACACACTCCTGCACTAAAATCCACTCACTCACCCACTCACTCAGTCACCCACTCACTCAACCCACCCACTCACTCACTCACCCAACGCATCCACTACTAACTCAGTCACCCAATCACCCACTCACTTACCCACTCACTCACCCGCCCACTCACTAACCCACCCACTCACGCACTCACTCACCCGCCTACTCACTAACCAACCCACCAACCCACTCCTCCCACTCACTCACTCACTCATTCACTCACTCACCCACCCACTCACTCACCCACCAGTATGTCCCTGTACATTTTCTAGCAGCATGTTGACATTTGCTGTGTTGCTGAGCTGTGTCAAGTTGAATTGGGTCAGCGAAGGCTCAAGCATGACCAATGACGTGTCGACGTCCACTGGCGACTGGCTGAATCCTCCACACTCGGGGTAGTCCACTGACCAGTGGGCGGGGCCTGCAAAGCGCACAAAGCAGAACCTTGTTAATACGCAAACCCCCTCAAAGCGGGAGATGAAAAACCAGTGATGAACTTCCCGCAGAGCTACTCAATATAGTACTATATATAGTACATTATTAAGCTAAGTTATTTTAGAAACGGAAATATTATTTCTTTGATTTGAAAGGAAATTGTACTGTCGGACCGGAAAATGAAATTATAACAGGAGATAAATACACAAGAAATGAACATAAGGTTGACATTTTAAAAAATTCCCAATAAATTTGGGCCAGTAAATGTGGTCCGGTTTCCACAGTAATCTGTATTAGTCAGAGACTGGTTTTACAGAAACAACCTTAATGTACTTTCTTCACAGAAGTTACACTGCACATGGTAATATAGCCCCACGCAGTATGATCTACACGCCCCACATAGACCGGTGACGTTTATATCGCCAAGATATTGTCCCATTACAAGTGTGCGAGTGAGTGCATTCGGTTAAATACCGTTTTTCAGTAATAAACTTACGTACCAAATAAAGTACACACCTGATGCTTTGGGATTATTTTCTAAAGGCCATGATATCCCGTGCCCTATACTTTAAGGGATATCTGGGGTGTTTTGTCAAAAACATACACAACAATGTTTGTTTCTTGGAGGTGAAACTTACACCCACTGAGTCGGTCCTGCAAAAAGTACAAATCATATGATCCTTGAAATCAGAGATTCGAACCCGTCATATGACACTAGCACGTTAAATGGGGCCACTGGCCTTTCGGGCTTTCGTATTCATACCTTTAGTGGACTTCAAAAGTACGGCGAAACAAGAATCATAATAGGGACGAAACTGGGATTAGAACCCGTATCCTGACATGCCTGACAAACTGGGGCTCGACGCCACAGCCTACTAGGCCACCCTTTCCAGAAGAGAACCTCGTCAATGGTTTAGGCTGAATGAGTATAGGCTTATGCTGCTTTTAGCACTATTTAGGCATTATCAGCGTGGAAAACTATAGCTAGACATGGGCTGCACACGTTGTACACATTTGGAGAGTCAAACCAACTCTGTGCCCTGAAAGCTTCAACAACTGACCTACCTCACCGCCTTCCACGAGTTATACATACCTTTTGAGAATTAGAAACTTTTATAAATTACTCACCTAGCTGGCCTTCGTAGCTCCATTCGTTACCTGTCATGGAAAGAAGTGTACATCAGTGAGTGAGTGAGTGAGTGTGTGAGAGAGAGAGAGAGAGAGAGAGAGAGAGAGAGAGAGAGAGAGAGAGAGAGAGAGAGAGAGAGAGAGAGAGAGAGAAAATACGTCACAGTTGCCAATCTAGGAATATTGTTGGGTCTCTATATGACTGAGCCTGGAACAGCTAATGGTTTATAGTATGTTTAGTATTGTTTGAGAAACATGACGTTTGCGCAATTTCTTTGCGTCGTGATGTGATCTGATGCGAATGCGATGCGTGCGAAGGCAAAACATGGCGATGCGTGGGAACATGATGTTATATCGGGTAATTTGAAAGTTTCACACTTAGTGAGTAAGTTTAGTTTTACTTAGTTTTACGCAGCTTTTAGCAATATTCCAGCAATATCACGGCAGGGTACACCAGAAATGGGCTTCACACATTTTACCCATGTGGGGAATCGAACCTGGGTCTTCGGCGTGACGAGCTCACACTTTAACCACTAGGCTACCCCACCACACGAAGTGTTCGCTCGATTGCATTTACCGTGTCGCTTTGGGTTTCTACCAAGTATAATATCACAACAAAATCTATATGGATAAGCATTACCAACAACAGTTTCTTGACAATATGCAGATAACAAAACGCAGAAATAAATATTATGTTTTCCTGTAACATAATTGATACAAGAGTATTTCAATGAGGTCACGATATGAAATTAGCATTAGATTTGCTACAATCAAGGTCATCTTGTTGGTCAACTTGGTCAACATGTTCAGAAGAAAGTATCTGTTTGAAAATTAACCGAATCATTTTATCGTGAATGTTGAAAATCAGAAGCATAGCCCACAGACGAACTGATCATGAAGCACCTGTCACCAGCTAGATTGCGCCTAATCCAGGTATAACATATACATGTATGTACTCACACACACACGAAACCAACCCTCGACCCTTGCAAGTATCACCGACATCCTCTCCGACACATGGACATACACCTTAAAAGTGACCACATTCACTATAAACTTCGCCACTTCTCTCAAGGACTATCAAAGCAACAGCCACTAGGTTTCTGATCTTGTTAAATCCTTTCACAAACTTCTGTACCACATACCTTGAGTTTACCTGGTTTTTATTTATGTTGCACAATCAGTCTTTATTGAATTGCACTTGAAATATGCAGCTTGGATTTGTTGTAAGGACATTTGTATCTTCATGTTAGTTTTAGAATTAGACGCAGGTCGATTGAAGTTCAGTTTGGTCAAATCTGTTCCTACACACAGTGTGCGTGCGCGCGCGCGCGTGAGTGTGTGTGTGTGTGTGTGTGTGTGCGCGTGTGCGTGTGTGTTTCCGTATGTGTGTGTGTCTGCGTGTGCGTATCTGCCTGCCAGTGTCTGTATGAATGTGTATCTGTGTGTCCATGTGTGTGTGCGTGCGCGTATCAGGGTGTGCATGTGTGTCTGGGTGTGTGCGTATGTTTGGATATGTGTCTGTGCGTGTGTGTGAGTGTGTGTGTGTCTTTCTGCCTGTGTCTGTTCTTGTCTGGGTGCGTGTCTGTGTGTCGCTCTCTCCGTGCGTGCGTGCGTACGTATGTATGTCTATATTTGCACTTTACAAGAGACGATAACAATTCCAACAATGAGTTTTATTCTCACTTCATGTAACCATACCCACAAGATATCATTGATCACTTTTTGATTGTAATTCACAAACACATGCTTATATATATCGTCGGAATTGTACAATGGGGTCTGTTCTGATCACGAAAGTGGTTTTGTTGCTATTACATATCAGATATAAGCTCTGTATATCTCAGAAGATAAATATCATTCATGGCTAATATTTGATATGCGTTATGAACCATAATTGTCCATTATGATATCATATATCATCTAATGTATATTAAACACGATCTGAGGCGTGAATAAAAGCATGTATACATTTTTCAAGCAGCAATCATTATATTTATACCATATGATGATACAATTATACCATGATCTGTATTGGTATTGTGTTTATCAACCAATCGGATTAGGTTCGATTAATCCCAATTGCGGTTTACAGTTCAGTAACCAGATACTATTTACACAAACGTCTTAACGGAGGCCTGAACGTTCATAAGTGTGCCTATTTAGAGATCGTATTGCAGCATAGTGAGTTAGTTTGCACTCTAAGGAAATCTCCGACAGTTAGTTGCTTACACACAATATCCCAGTTGCTACGGGGTCAACACATGCTCCAAGCATTGCGATAAATCCATTCATGGTCGTTATTTTTGGCTACTTTACTCGATATTTTTCGTGATTTTTAACACTGACAGGGTAGAGTTGATTGATTTATTGTTGCTGCATTCAGCAATATTCCTGCTATATATCAGCAGTAGTAAATACATCAAGTGAGTGAGTGAGTTCAGTTCTACGCCGCACTCAGAAATATTCCACTTACATGTATATTGCGGCGGTCTGTAAATAATCGAGTCTCGACCAGACAATCAGTGAGCCTGACCACCCGATCCAATTTGGTTGGTTGGTTGGTTAGTTGGTTAGTTGGCTGGTTGGCAAATTGATGGACTGATTGATGGACTGATTGATTGATTGACGAAGCAATCAGCAATATACCAGCTATATGGCGGCGGTCCGTAAATAATCGAGCCTGGACCAAACAATCCAGTGATCAACATCATGAGCATCGATCTACGTAATTGGGAACCGATGACATGTGTCAACCAAGTCAGCGAGCCTGACCACCCGATCCGTTAGTCGCCTCTTACGACGAGCATGGTTGCTGAATATTAATTCTAACCCGGTTCTTCATGAGTGACAAGGTAGAGAGTAAGGTGTCTTCTGGTCACTGCTTACAGAAGAGAGTTCTCATAAGAACACCCGGTGTCATTACTGATTAAACCCGTGAAGTTCCGGGTTAGAATAAAGACAGACAGACCCAAGGTTAATCTGACGTCCCAAAAAGTAGAATTTGGTGTAAAAAACATGCTTAAAACTGATTAAATATTGGGGTCGTGACAACTTTAGGAAGAACACGAGAGGACATCTCTAAATGTAGTCGGTAACGTTCAGGTGTGCTAAAAAAGTATAAATCCTATAAAACCTCCAAGGTAAACGAAAGTATACCCTTAGAAGCTTGATCTGGCAAAACGCTTTCAAAACGTTACTGAAATCAGTCGCTGAAATACAACAAAAATATAGTCCAAAACACAGCCATGAACTTGAACACATATCACAGAGAAGATATTTCTTGTTTGATCTATTTGTATCTGCCATCAAACAATGCGATACAGTTCTAAACGGTTTACGATATAGTCCGTTTGACTCAAAATCGAAAACTGACCGATGAATTGCAATCGAACTCGAAAACTGCTAAACATATAATTCTCAATGAGGTGATTATAAGTTCCACATAATCAAAACATCAGACCAACTCTGTGATTTGTTGCAGAATTTATGTTGTTTAACATGGTCGTTGTCTTGATGAATGGGTCCGCCACAACCCTACACCCTCCCCCCACCCCCGACCCCCAGTCTTCTACACCCTCCTACAAGTAGACTGACATGTGGACAGTACAGGTAGTCTGACAACAGGTAACGATATAAGTGACACAGGTAGCTCGAAGTCAGTCTCACATGTCGAGACTATACAGGTGGATCCAGGTAATTCGATCTATGTCATACAAGAGCAAATTCCAAGTACGCTTGTCCGAGGGAGCTTAGGATATCGCCGAACGTGTTAGCGTCACGTGACCACGAAATATATCAGTCTCGAATTCCCCATTCTCATACGTCGGTCGTGTTGAATACACCGATAAGTGTTTCTGTACATGGCGTGTGTTTCATCGCCAGGCCATCCATGGTCGTTTCTTTGTTTCCCATCTCCCACAAGCCCTGAATTTCATTTAAACGTGAAAATAAAGAAAGGTTTTCGTATCCCAATTTTCCTCGTGAACATTTATGCCTTGGGGAAATGAAAAATATTCTCTCATTCTTGCACAGTCATAAACACAGATTGTTTTATCTTAAACTGTTTCTGCAGCAAAATGACTCTAGCTAACTAATAAATTAACATTATGTCGTTTTCAAAGTGATTAAAATCCATAAAAAGTAACACGATAACTAAACACGGTTTATAAATTGTTGTCGCGACCCCGCTCTTTTCCTGGTTCAGGTGGTAGAAGATGTATGGCAGTTACGAGCATCTTAGGGTTACGATCGCTTTGAGGAACGGGTCTCCTTGGTCAAAGCGGTCGTAGGTCCATGTCAAACATACGATTACCTCAGCGCTACGATCGTGTTGTGGAACTAACGATCACCTCAGCGCTACGATCGCGTTGATGAACTTACGATCACCTTGAGCAGCGCTATGATCGCGCTGTGGAACTTACGATCACCTCAGCGCTATGATCGCGATCATGTTACGACCATGTTGTGGAACTTACGACTACCCCAGCACTGCGATCACGTTGTGGAACTTACGATCACCTCAGCGATACGATCACGTTGAGGAACTTACGATCACCTTAGCGATACGATCACATTGTGGAACTTACGATCAACTCAGCGCTACCTCAGCGCTATGATCGCGTTGTGGAACTTCCGATCGCCTCAGCTATACGATCGCGTTGTAGAACCTTCGATCACCTCAGCACTACGATCACGTTGTCGAACTTACGATCCCCTCAGCGCTACGATCGCGTCATGGAACTTACGATCACCCCAGCTACGACCATGTTGTTGAACTTACGACTACCACAGCGCTACGCTCACGTTGTAGAACTAACGATCATCTCAGCGCTACGATCGCGTTGTAGAACTTACGACCACCTCAGCGCTACGATCACATTGCGGAACTTACGACCACCTCAGCGCTACGATCACATTGCGGAACTTACGATCACCTCAGCGCTGCCTCAGCGCTGCCTCAGCGCTACTATCACCTTGTGGAACTTACGAGCACCACAGTGATACGATCACGTTGTGGAACTTATAAT